AACACGCCTGCAACCTAAAGCTTGATCTTCATCTTCCTACCCTTCTTTCATGTTCTTCCCTAATGCTTAATTTCTATACGACGCTCTGATAAAAAGTAAAAATGTCTAATGTTTTAACCTCACAGTTTATAGAGTTTACATGCTTAATTTTGTTTACCCTCATCTCAACATATAAAAATCTTCAACTCTACCTCCAGGAAATCTTGCTGTTATTTTAATTTTATTTTTAAATTATTTTGTAGAGACAGGCTCTCACTATGTTGCCCTGGCTGGTCTTGAGCTCCTGAGCTCAAGGGATCCTTCTGCCTCGGCTTCCCAAAGTGCTGGCATTACAGGCATGAGCCACTGTGCCTGGCCAAATCTTGCTGTTCTTAGTAGTCACTCTTTCTTTTTTAGACAGGGTCTCACTCTGCCACCCAGACTGGAATGCAGCGGTGCGGTCATGGCTCAATGCAGCTTCAACCTCCTGAGCTCAAGTGATCCCCCTGCCTCAGCCTCCTGAGTAGCTGGGAGCATAGACTCACACTACCACACTCAACAATTTTTTTTTTTTTTTGTAGAGACAGGGTCTCACTATATGGCTCAGGCTGAATAGTCACTTCTGATGCCTCTGCAGATTATATCTCATTCTGTTCCTTTCTCTGGATTCCCACGGCACTTGCCCAGACTTCTATCACATAACCTATAACAATATCCTACCTTTGCATTCACATGACTGCCTCTCCCCTATTACACCATAAGCTCTATGTTGTGTAGGTTTTTCTATTCCAACACTCAGCATCTGTCCTGGCCATAATGTGTGCTTAATAAGCCAGTGAAAGATTGAAGATTTTTCCCAACTTCCTGATCTTAAATTCCAAAGTCATTGTGAATCCTCCTCTAAATCTTTCTAGTCACCAAGTCTTTTTTTTTTTTTTTTTGAGACGGAGTCTCGCTCTTGTTACCCAGGCTGGAGTGCAATGGCGCAATCTCGGCTCACCGCAACCTCCGTTTCCTGGGTTCAGGCAATTCTCCTGCCTCAGCCTCCTGAGTAGCTGGGATTACAGGCACGTGCCACCATGCCCAGCTAATGTTTTGTATTTTTAGTAGAGACGGGGTTTCACCATGTTGACCAGGATGGTCTCGATATCTTGACCTCGTGATCCACCCGCCTCGGCCTCCCAAAGTGCTGGGATTACAGGCTTGAGCCACCGCGCCCGGCCTGTCACCAAGTCTTATAGATTTCTTATGCCATGTGTTTCTTGTTGCTGTCTCTGCTCTTACACTTTGTGCAACTGCAGTGTCCCCGTCTTGGCCTTCCTGCTCTTGGTCTTTCTCTTGTCAAATCAGTCCTATGTTCCTTCTGCAAGAATAACCTAAAGGTTCTATTTGTATGAAGACTAAATTTAAATTCCTTATTCTGATATTTAGGACCCTGCCATATCTCCCGTAACTTCTCCATCAAAACCCTGAGTTTTCTCTCACCATTTTTCTTATTGTCACCCAGATACCAGAGAGACGCGTCTTTTCCTCCTTCTTCTTTCTCTTTCTTCATTTGTTTATATTCTACTTTTCCTTTAAGGCCTACCTCAAATTTCACTTTCCTCAGGAAGCTTTTGATTCTTTTGATCTCTGGCTGATCTCTGTCTTCTTTGACTATGTATTTATTTATTGAGACAGAGTCTTGCTCTGTCACCCAGGCTAAAGTGTAGTGGCATGATCTTGGCTCACTGCAACCTCCGCCTCCTGGGTTCAAGTGATTCTCATACCTCAGTCACCCGAGTAGCTAGGACTACAGGTGTGCACTACCACACCTGGCCAATTTTTGTATTTTCAGTAGAGACAGGATTTCATCATGTTGGCCAGGCTGGTCTGAACTCTTGGCCTCAAGTGATCTGCCCACCTTGGCCTTCCAAAGTGCTGGGATTACAGGAATGAGCCACTGCACCCTGCCTGTCTTCTTTGACTTATTACTTTTTTTTTTTTTTTTCAGAGACAGGGTCTTGCTCTATCCCCCAGGTTTGAGTGCAGTGGCATGATCTCGGCTCATTGCAAACTCTGGCTCTAGGGTTCAAGTGATTCTCATATCTCAGCCACCCGAGTAGCTAGGACTACAGGTGTACGCCACCACACCTGGCCAATTTTTGTATTTTTAGTAGAGACAGAGTTTTGCCATGTTGGCTAGGCTGGTCTTGAACTCCTGACCTCAGGTGATTCGCCCACCTTGGCCTCACAAAGTTCTCCCAGCCATGCCCAGCCTGACTTATTACTTATTATTATTATTATTATTTTATTCTTTTTTAATTTTTGTCTTTTTTATACTTTTTATTATTATACAGTTTACCGTTGTAGCATACTTGGGCATTTAGTCATCTGTGGCAGGGACTGGCAATTTATGGCCTATGAGCCAAATCTGGCCTGCTGCCTGGGGCTAAGAATGGTTTCACATTAATATTAAAAAATTTTTAAAGAAGAATATTTTGTAACACATAAAAATTATGTGAAATTTAAACTTTAGTGTCCACAAATAAAGTTTTACTAGAACATAGCCACAGCTATTTGTTTACATATTGTCTGTGTCCTCTTTCAAGCTATAATTGGGAGACTTAAGTAGTCTTGACAGAGAACATATATGCCCTGCAAAACCTAAAGTATTTATCATCTGGTTGATACAGAAAAAGCCTGCTGATCCCTGATCTCAGATCTTGAATCGTCTTTATAATCTTTTCATAGCTGTTTAAGAACTTTGGAAAGGTCTGCTTCACTAAAGATAATCTTTTGACGCTAATTAGTGGTTCATTAGAACAGTGGGGGAAGCTGGAGGAGTAGGCTTTATTGAGTGAGTAGGAGCTATCCTAGTTAGAAACTTAGTAACTTAGGCAACTGGATTCCCATTGGAAAGTGAGAATCAGAGGATCTCAGGTGGATGGGGGGAAAGAGGTGATCTTTTTTCCATCTTCTCTTTTTCTGACCTGGCAGAGGAAATGTAAAAGCAAATGGGGTCTAGCTAGAGAAAGGACTATTTGAGGTTTTATCTGAATCTGGTTGTTGAGAATAGATCAATGGTGGCTGTCTGAGAGAAGCTCAACTTTTTTTTTTTTTTTTTTGGGACAGAGTTTCACTCCGTCACCAGGCGCCAGGCTGGAGTGCAGTGGTGTGACCTCTGCTCACTGCAACCTCCGCCTCCCGGGTTCAAGCAATTCTCCTGCCTCAGCCTCCTGAGTAGTTGGGATTACAGGTATGTGCCACCATGCCCAGCTAATTTTTTTGTATTTTTTTTAGTAGAGACGGGGTTTCACCATGTTGGCCAGGATGGTTTCGATCTCTTGACCTCGTGATCTGCCCGCCTTGGCCTCCCAAAGTGCTGTGATTACAGGCTTGAGCCACCGCGCCCGGCCGAAGCTCAACTATTAATGACACAGTTATAACAGGCCATGAAAGAAACCATCAATAGGGTGTAACTGCTAAAGCTGAAAGTGACCTTGGCTGACTGAAGGTCTAAGTAGGCTAAGAGGTTTTACAATGCCTAGGAGTATTGTAGGTATGATAATTTAAAGGATTTCTTTTTCCTTTTTTTCTTTTTTAGATGGAGTTTTGCTTTTATTGCCCAAGTTTGAGTGCAATGGCACAATCTCAGCTCACTGCAACCTCTGCCTCCTGGGTTCAAGCGATTCTCCTGCCTCAGCCTCCCGAGTAGCTGAGATTACAGGTGTGCACTACCATGCCTGGCTAATTTTGTATTTTTAGTAGAGAAGGGTTTCACCATGTTGGTCAGGCTAGTCTCAGACTCCTGACCTTAGATGATCCGCCCACCTCAGCCTCCCAAAGTGCTGGGATTACAGATGTGAGCCACTATACCTGGCAGGATTTCTTTAAAGACAAAAAGAAAGTTAGATATTTAGATAAACAAGAATGGCAACTGAAGTTATCAGAAAGTTCATGACTTTTACCAGGTGTTCTATTTCTTCTCATCTTTTCCTAATCATATTTTTTCCTTAAAATTATACAGCATAATACTTATTTAGTAATAAATTATATAGGTTGGATTGTGGGCCGCCTCCTTCTTCACAGCTGCCCCTCACACCCTGACAGAATGCACTTGGCTAGTTTGGGTACTCATATATGGACCACCAGATGGTGAATTGCTACCTGAAGTGTGGGAAGAAAGAAGCTAGACTCTAGGAGACAGGGCTTGCATATTTTAATGTAAACAATAGGTGCAAGGTCATAAGAAGTGTCTTTTTAAAAAGAGCTTCACAGCCTTGGCATAGTGGAGAGCACATTGTCAGACTGAGATTGAATGAATAAGCAGCTGTAAATTAACTTTTGTGGGGAGTCATTTACCTATGCAAGTGGACACTGGAGACCATCATTTTATTGGAGAGTTTTTTGTTGTTTGCATTGCGTGGGAGGTAGGATTTGATGAATCCTAAAATGTCTTCCAACTCCTAACATCTATGATCTTGCACATCAAACAAGCCCTTCACAATTTCCCTGTTCTTTGCCAAAGAACCCTGTCCATTTGCTCCAGCCTCCCTCCCTCTCTCTCTTTCTTTCTCTCTCCCTCTCTCTCCCCCTCCCCCTCCCCCCTCCCCCAGCCTTCCTCACTCTCTTGTGCTGTTCCCTTGTCCAGGGTGACATCCTACTACCAAATCTTAATCTGCGACATCTCTTAGCTTTATCTCTTTCATTCGCTGTTTCCTGCTTTCCGCGCACCCTCTTGATTTCCTTCCAGCTCTTCTTCTTTTTCTGAGACTCACACACTCCTTCCTTATCTTCCCTCCTTGCCTCCTTCGTGTACCTCTCCTTCCTCCCTCTCTTTCTTTGCTCCCCCTACTTCATTTTCTGTCCCCGCATCCCCCGACGGTCTCCCCCTCCTTCCCGCTCTCTGTCTTACCCTAGTTTGGAAATGCAGCAGACCTCTAAACCTGCCACCATTGGATGCAAGAGGTTGTCACTCTACGGTAGGAGAAGCTACTATTGGTCGGGCTGGAGGCGGGTACCAAGCTGAGTATAAAAGGTGGGGCCGGAGGCGGTGCGCCGAGGGGCTCTGACAGGACTGGTCGGAAAGGGTCGTCCGGTAGGAGCTGGGCGCCGAGAATCCCTGGTGCCAGCACCAGAGCAGCGGCTCTCCGTACTAACTCCTCTCCTGGTCAGCCGTAGCCCCTGCCGCAGAGCCCGGCAACTGTCAGCCATCGCCCGCGCAGCCCCAAGGGCCCCTCGCCTCACCTGTGCTTGTCGCGCCCCGCGCGCGCTGTCCGGCTGTGGAGATGAGCGAGGTGAGCGGCGCGGCCCCCGGCGCTCTCGGCAGGGCTGCGGCGGGGAGGGGGCTGCAGCTCGGGATCCCAGGGAGGCGAGGGAAAGCTAGGCAGCCTGGAGAACCCTCCAAGGGCGCCCCACTGCCCTCCTGGGAACGCTCCCACCTCGGGGCGCTGGGAAACGATTGGAAGGCGGGGTGCGGGGAGCTTTCAGTCTCCCTACTGTGGACGGGGCTTTTGGGGGTAACTGGAATCGGCTGTAGAGACGGGAGCGGGGCGGGGGGATGCTGAGCTCTCAGGTGGTAGGTCATCCCCTCGGGATACTGCCCTCTGGATCTGTCTTTCTGCCCGAGGTTATTCTGGCTCCCCATACACCCCTCACTTCGCTTCTATCCCCTCTCTCCTAGGGATGGAAGGCTCTCGCATTCCTTATGTAGCCTCTAACAAGAACTCCATCCCTGGCCCCCAGGGAGGGCCACTATTCCCTTTTAGAAAGGTGGCATCCTGCCCTGCACTCATTCAGTCAGGAACGTTGGAGGGACCTTTTCTGATACTCAGAAGCCCCTGCCAGCACCGGAGGAGATGTCCCCTTCAAGAATAGACTTCCCTCTGCAGTGCTTGTTACAAACTAGGTCTTCCAGCAGGCTCTGTGGTGTTCATCGTGGCCAGACCCATTCCATTAACTGATTTACTGTTTTCAAAGAACACTGTTCATGGGGTAGGGGAGTGGTGGGGGGGTGTCAAAGCAGAGACTTTGGAAAGACGCCTCCCATTGTCTTTTTGTAGGCACAATCTCATTTCCAAAAACAAGGATCAGCCTTCCCAAGTGAAGTCAGTCTGGGTAGTGGCATGACAAGCTTGCCCTCTGCAACCTCTTTCCTGGTACCCACATAGTTGTGTTAAATCCAGCTCCTCCGCAGTATGTCAGATGTGTATGTAGCTCTGCTACTTACCTGTGATGTAGGCACAGTACAAAACCTTTGTTTCATTTTTTATCTACAAAATGGGGTTAATATTGGTGGTTGTAACAATTAAATGAGATAATAAATGCCAAATACTTCAAACAGGACCTGGCACTTTATATTAGCTATTATCTTTCTGTTTCTGTTTTTTTCCCCCATTAGAGTATTACAGAAATTAACAAGAATTCCCAAAGACATTAGATTACTGAAGGAATAGGACCCTGGAGCCTGGGTTCCAGTTTAGATACTAAAAGTGAAGATCTCTACTGACTTCTACCAAAAGTTGTCACCCAGGGAGCTAATTAGTGCTGACTGCTGTGTTGTCTTGGTTGCCATGTTCACTAATTTTATCCTGGAAAATTCAGATAGCTTGGGGGCTGCAGATGAACCACAGTGGTTTCTAGTCCCTCAGCTGGTTGTGACTCTGATGATGGCAATCTTTCAGAAAGAAAAGAAAAAAAATGCATCAACCTCCTCTTTCAGCTGTAACATGGGAAGAGAGGTTTTCTTTGCCCTCTTTTCACTGAGGTCTAGGGTTCATACCACTCCTCCTACCCCGAGCATTTCTAAATCTGAAAGTTGTAATCCAAGCCATCCCCTGGGAGTTTGTGATCTGAGGGCTATGCCAACATGAGGATTTGTGGTTAGCCTGTGCTTTTTGGGGGAAGTGCACAGCCCCTTTGTAGGACACACTATAGGGGCTGGCATTTAGGGTGGTATTTGATGGAATGATAAGCCTGTTTTGTGGCAAATAAAACAATTTGGTGTTTGAGGGGAAAGTCAAGTCTCAGGCGCCCTCCTGACTCAGCAGCTGAATTTGGTTAGCCTTCAGGGCTAGGGGCTCAGTAGAATGAAGAGAGAAGGGTCCACAGATGAAGGCTGTCAGTGTATACAAGGCTGCTCAGCCTCCTAGTCTCTCAGAACTGGTTTTAACTAGCAATTTACTTGTAGAAGCTGCCTCCTAATATGGAGCTGAGCCTGGTCTTAGGGATGAGTACTTATAAAATCCAGAAGCAGCTGTCTCTGAAACAGGTCACAAAGGGGTCTCTGCTTCTCTAGGGGCCGAGACCCAGCCTATTTTCTTCCTCTTGTAAAAGTTATGGTAGAAGGTGGAAGTGTTGCCCAGAGCTCTAGGGAGACTCCAAACTGCTTCATTTCTCTCAGCCCAGCCCCATGGGGCTCCTCTTTCAGGCTGAAGAGCCCAGCTCAGGAAAGCCCTGTGTACCTTGAAGCTTACGTAAGTTTCACCTCCCCCAACTGCTTATCTTCTTGCTTCAGAGAAACTGCATGAAATGAGATGATTTGGGATGTGTTTAAGAGACTCCTATTTCAACTGAAGAACAAAACCAGGGAAGAGTCTCCAGACCTAGAACAACCAACAGTGCAGGGGTTCTGGTGGGGCTGCTGGGAAGGCTCTTTGGCTCTGCCTTGCCTTTGGGGCTCTTTGCTGTCACTGATTACTGCAGTAGAGCATTTCCCCGTGAGTGTGTGCACGCGCATTCGTGCACGAAGGAGCTGCAGGGACTCATCTCCAATTTGTCTGCATTCACAGCTGCAGGGAGGATTTGATTGCTGTGGATCACAGGCTATCTCCTATGGTTTAATAACTTTTTCCTAGTTTCAGTAATGCATGGGAATGGGAGATGTGTACAGTTTCTGAGGGCTCTTTCCTATAATCCTTTTTCATCCAGTGTAGCTGGCTGCTTAAAGCAGAATTGCTGGTTCTTTTGTAATCCTGTTGCATTTCTCATCTGTGAGGAGCCTCGCTGGGGAAATCCCTTGGTCTAGCAGTCATCCTGCTGAAATGGGAGTCATGGACCACTGGTGACAATCCTCATGGTGTCTGTTCTGTGTTTTGGCTGGCAGGGGCTGGAGCAAGGGACAGATCAACTAGAACTGTCATTTAGGGGAGAGCTTAGACCTGGTGCTCCTTCATTATCCTGCTTGCTCTCTTCTTACCTAATGAGAATGGGATATCACACTTTAAAGATTCACACACACACTCTTCTGTGCACATCTGTCTGCATCTGCCACCTTCCCAACAAGGGAAGTTCAGTTAGAGTGATACTGTTCTGTTATGTCTCCTGAACCAGTTGTTAGGGAACCTGGTGTGGACTTGGAGGAGATCCAAGTTTCTCTCTCTCATTGGTATGTTACTTTTATTTTGGTTATATTGGATATACAAAATAGGAAGGCTGGTCACTTACTGATATTGAAATGCCTTCTACCTCTGGAAACAGCTGACTTGGAGTGAGGAAAACCAGAACTTGCTCATCCCTTTTTTAGTCTCCCATTTATGTTACTGGTTTTAGCTGTTTAGGCAGGAGCCTGCGGCGTGTAGAAGTGGCTGACTTTGTAATCCTGTGACCTGGAAATATGGATGATTCTTTCTCTCAACTACAGCTGTGATTTGTTAGCTCTTAGAATATCGTCTTTATAGGGTTAGGCAGCCATAAGTAATATGGCTGAAGTCCAAATACACAAACCTGATGCATCTTTCATGTCTGCCCATGAAGGGTCTTAACTGATGGAAGTGGTGGAGATAGGGTTGCAGGCAGAGAGGATGAAGAAAGGTGAATAATTATCTCTTCAGGGTGGTGGTTCTATGAATGCCTCCCTCTATTTTCTTTTTACTTTTCTCTATTTCTAAATTGTCTTTCATGAGTCTATTTTATCATAGAGAAAAATAAACTTAGTTCTGCAAAAAATTCCTCAAAATAGAAAGTTATCTTTCACCAAGAAAACCTCAAATAAAATATCAAAACATTTTAGCGGTGCAATTTTAGATTTGTTAAGGAGCCCCAAAGATCATCTGGTCCAATCTTCTCATTTTACAGGTGAGGAAACTGGGGCCCAAAACTTATTTAAGTTTACTCAGTACTAGAACCAACACTAGGGCACAGTACTTCTGACTTCTCATTCTAAAAGAACATTCCACAAGACTCCTTTAATATTTTACTTTGGTAAATACAGAATTATTTGATTAGCATGCAACCTTTTGATGAGTATATTTCAAGTATTTTATTTTATTTTTTTGAGGCAGATTCTCTGTCACCCAGGCTGTAGTACAGTGGCACAATCATGGCTCACTGCGGCCTCGAGCTCCTGGACTTAAGCAATCTTCCCACCTCAGCATTCCGAGTAGCTGAGACCACAGGTGCACACCACCATGCCTGGCTAATATTTTTTTGTAGAGACAGGTTTCACCATGTTGCCCATGCTGGTCTTGAACTTCTGAGCCCAAGCAATTCACCATCTCAGCCTCCCAAAGTGCTGGGATTACAGGCATGAGCCACCATGCTTGGCCTCAAGTGTTTTTCTTTTTTTTTTTTTTTTTCTTTGAGATGGAGTCTCACTCTGTCACCCAGGCTGGAGTGCAGTGATGTGATTTCAGCCCACTGCAGTCTCTGCCTCCTGGCTTGAAGCAATTCTCCTGCCTCGGCCTTCAGAGTAGCTGGGATTACAGGCATGTGCCACCATGCCTGGGTAATTTTTGTATTTTTTTTTTTTTAGTAGAGATGAGGTTCACCATGTTGACCAGGCTGGTCTCAAACTCCAGGCCTCAAGTGATCCACCTGTTTAGGCCTCCCAAAGTGCCAGGATTGCAGGTGTGAGCCACCACCCCTGGCCTCAAATACTCTATAAGAAATATAGGCTGGGCACGGTGGCTCACACCTGTAATCCAGCACTTTGGGAGGCCGAGGTGGGAAGATCACAAGGCCAGGAGTTTGCGACCAGCCTGGCCAATATGGTGAAACCCCGTCTTTACTAAAAATACAAAAATTAGTCGGGCATGGTGGCGGGCGCCTGTAATCCCAGCTACTCAGAAAGCTGAGGCAGGATAATTGCTTGAACCTGGGAGGCAGAGGTTGCAATGAGCTGAGATCACACCACTGCACTCCAGCCTGGGACAGAGTGAGACTTTGTCTCAAAAAAATATAAAAAAAGAAATATAAGCAGTGTAGCTGAGTGTGGTGGTTCACGCCTGTAATCCCAACACTTTGGGAGGCTGAGGTAGTCCTCCCACCAGCTCAAACTCCTGCTTGAGCTCAGGAGTTT